TAAAAAAGGAGCCACTGACAGCTGAGTAAATCAGGTATACGATATAAAATACACAATAAAAAAAAAGTTCGCTTTTTTCCTTCCTTTGTCTTATTGGCTTGTGGATATTTAACTGATTTTGCTTCTTGATGGAAAAAAAATCTTTTAAATATGATGCACTGAGATAAATAAATAAACAATGTTTTTTCTCTCTCTCTCTCTCTCTCTCTCTCTCTCTCTCTCTCTCTCACTGTATGAAGCCTTACCTTGTTTCGTTTGGCCCCCCGCAGAGGAAAGAAGCAGGCGAAGAGGAACTTGCCCCAGCTGATGACGGCAGCCAGGCACCAGTTGAGGCGAGCCATGCCTGCGTCTGTCCCGTCTTGTCTGCCAGCCTCTTATCGCTCTAGCCCCCCACCCCCCACCCCTCAGAGCTCTGGAATAGGATCTTGTAACCCCCAACTATGCCCACCTCCCACAAAAAAAAGAACAATGATATCAAGGAGGAAAAAGATCACAAAGAGTCACGAAACCTTCTCGTCCTAGTCCGTTGAGCAGGTGCGAAGTGAAAATGTTCCTTGAAGTCAGATGTAGTTTAGGGGTGGGGGAGATTTCGTTTTCCTTCTGTGGTGGTCTTTGGCAGTTTTCGGGAAACCTGTCTGGCTGTGTGTCTGCAATTCCAATTTGAAAGGGAAGTGGTGGTGGCGGCAGCGGTGGTGGGGTAGATAACTGGGGCTACTGGCGTCCCAAAAATGACTAGACCCTCAGATGGTCTAGAGGGATCCACAGCATTCAAAAGCCTAAAACTGAGTCCCTGTCTTCCCATCCATCCGTCTTTCCCACGACTACCTCCACTCTCACTCCTCCTCTGTTCTCCTGCTTTCCAAAGCCGGGTCTAGATGAGTCAGTCCTCAAAGTGTGATGAGCACCGCCGGCTGCAAAACGCGAAGAGCCCGACGCTGATCGACGACACTGTTACACATACACGCGCACTGCCGCTGCTGCTGGCATGCCCACACTCACTTGTCTCTCACACGCACACACATACGCTCGCCTGCGAATAACACTGTCCTGGTGGTGCATACATCCACGGGCAGAAGAGCCCCCCTCTCTCATTACAAGGCTCCCCTCCAGGCTCAGGATCCCCCGGTGGTTCGCACTCACACACCGCTTACACACACTTGTCCACCTCTCTCGGTCTGTGCTGCTCTCTCACACATACATCGATGCTGCAGCACTTACTCAGTCAGAGTGGGAGGAGGGGAGCAAAAGAGTGAAGAGGAAGAGGAGGAGGTGGAGGTGAGGAGGGGAGGAAGAAAGGGAGAAACGACTGGGAAGAGAAAGGGAAAAAAACGATAAGACAGAGGCTTTCTGTTGAGTGTGTTCATTCAGTGTTTATATTCCAGGGGTGATGCCAGAGTCAGTGAGGAGACCGAGAAGGCGGTAATGTGCACGTGTATGAACGAAAGTGCGCATCAACTAGTGATAGCTACGAGAGGTGGAGGAGTGACAGGAAGGACCGTGAGAGTGAACAGAGGAGTCAAAATGGATGGACGGGAGGCATCGGGGGAAGGAAGAGAATGACATAAAAAAAAAGGGAAAGCAGAGAGTGCGCAGCATATACAAACACACACACATGAAGGGACACGCGGCAGCCGTCACGGTGCAAGGCTGATACAAAGCAGGCACAGGGTGATGATTGTTTTGTGTGTGTGTGCATGTGTGTGTGCAGAACTGGGTCGAACGGAGCAAAGGAGGGAGGAGAGGAGGAAGAAAGGATGGAGGATGAGAGAACAGGAGAGGAGAAGGGTGTTGAATCATTGTGTCTTGGGTGATTATTTCCCTTTTCTCTCCCCCTTTTCTCATATGTACACACACACACACACACACACACGACTGCAGGTGGTGCACAGGCTCGTTCACTCTGCTGCAGTCTCTCTACGCTTCAGTGGGAGCACATTCTCACTGCAGAACGCTGCCCCCCCCCCCAAACCCCACAACCCATCCAATCCCCGACCCCTCCCACCCAGCACACCACTGCCACACAAACGCAATCACAACACATCAAAGCAATGAGCGAGGGAGATAAAGTGTAGAGAGGATGCTGTTCTGTCAACCAAAGCTAGCTGAAACTGAGGGGTGGGGTATAGATGTTTGGATGTTTGAAGGGGGAGGGGGGGGATAACAATAATAGTTGCTTGGCGATATCCAAATGTGCAGGCGATAAAAGATAAGTATAAAAGTTGACTGACTGAAATCGATCTTGAGTCGGGTCTTGCTATGAAGTGCATCTAAAAGAGTAAGCCTTTATGCTCAGCATTACTGAATAAAGAAAGCTACATGACAGTTAATAAAATGTATTAATATCCTGTCAAAAGAAGTGATGCTTTTGAGCAAGGCAATATTTCCCAGATGTTACAGTAACACCATGGAAAACAGTGTTTGCACACTGCAGCAGGACCAAAATCACTGTGACCCCATGCAATGAACTCACTATCTTGTTGTCTTTGAAATGGATGCTTCGAAGATGCACACCAGGTCTGCCCCCACTAGCAGTCAGTCGCTGTCTTCAAAGCAACTTTGGTGCATCAATTGGTGCATGGCAATAAGACAATGTCAGTCTGCTATCAGTTTAAAATTGAATGGAGTCAAGTCTGCAAATACATGCTATAATGTAGCATTCAACCACGATAAAGTGGAAAAAAAGCACAGATTCGTATAATCACAAATTCAAGAAGTTCATATTAAACTGTCCTGTCCTGGTCTGTGGGTCTGGTTGGGTTGTTTTGAATTTTCTGTTAAGACTTCTTAGTCTGCAGTTGAGGTTTTCTTTCATTCTGTAATTTTGTCAGCATGTCGTGGGTGTAAGGGGTATATTCTTTTCTTCTCTCACTAAGCACCCAAAGGACTTCCTACTACCACCAGAAACTAGAGAAACCCAAGGAATCATCCTACCAACCTTCCAGTTGGTAGATGAACCACTCTACCTCCTGAGCCACTCACAACTCTTTCTTATGGCTTCTTGTTTCTGTTTAACTGCCTGACTCTGTCGTTAATTTGTTCTTGTTACATTTGTGACCTGATTTTAGAATACTATACATCTGATTCCTTGTATTTTACTTTCATCTGGTCTCCTGAGTGTTCTTTCCCCTTGTTAAGTCTGTGTCTCTGTTACACACTTCCCTTTAGACATAGTAGTTTCTGCTGTGTCTTGTTACCCCTGTGTTTCCCCTCTCCCCTGATTACCTTATGTGTGTATTTAAATCCTCAGTTTGCCTTAGTTCCTTGTTGAGTCATCCTGTGTTATCTGTTAACCATTCACTGTGTGTGTGTGTGTGTGTGTGTGTGTGTGTGTGTGTGTGTGTGTGTGTGTGTGTGTGTGTGTGTGTGTGTGTTCAGTGGATTTGGAGTATATTTAGTAATTGCTTTATTATGGATAATTTGCTTCACCTCGATAAAAATAAATTTATTGGTTTAAGAATTCCACCAGTGACGTTTGCATTTGGGTCTGCAAACTGCATATATCGACATAAACAGAAACACAACTGACTATTTACATTCAGATTCCAGCCAGAAACTCACAGATTTGTGCTCCAACACCGACATAGTTGATGCAGGATGGTAATTTAATTGGAAAACAACATAGATGCTCAGCAACCTTGTCTTTTATATAGGAATATAACCAGAAATCAACCAGTAGGCAACCTTCCAGAACATTGCAGATATGTCAGTGCAGCCTTAGACTCAAACTGATTGCAGAGTGTTTGCAATATGTCTGAGTTTATAAATTAGAAGGCAATTAAATGCCAATCTGTCTGACTTTGATTGTTTTGAGACAGGTTGTGGTTGCTGCACCCTCAAACGCTGGGTGGACAGTTCATTACCACAATTACTTCCAAACGGTCTACAGCAGCAAATATTCAAAGAAAGTTGCCATCCTACTCTTACTGTAGTGTGAGCGAGCTGTTAGTGGCTACTGTTGAAGATGGAAAAATAGGATTAAAAAATGCAATCCTGTGGGGATGTAATATTCTTACAGCCCACTGTATATAGAAAAATTGGCATCGTAACCATGCCTTCCCCTACTGGTGTCTGTTTTCCATGTTTTGAATCACCCATTTAAGGTTTATGTTGATTTTCCTGGTACTAAAAGTGACACCTCAGAGCAAGACAAAATAATTGTCAGAAAATTCTGTTACCTATTGTTCAAACGGGTGAATCCAGGATGGATTTCTCCCCCTTTATGCATAGGCTTTCTGCCACTACTCCACCGTCCTCCCACAGTCCAAAGACATGTATTTTAGGTTAATTGGTGATTCTAAATTTGCTGTAGTTGTGAATATGAGTGTGAATGGTTATCTCTCTGTATGTGTTAGTCCTCCAACAGATTGGTGACCCATAACGCTATGAGAACTGGCATAGGCTCCAGCCTATCCTGATTACCCTATGATTTGGATAAGCATAAGAAAATGAATAGAAGGATAGATGGATCCTCCAAAAGGTACTAGCACTTTCTTTTGCTGTAAAGGCATGACACTAGAAGAAATGGCATCTCCAAAGGAAGAATCCCTGAATGTCTGACTGTCTGACTCCACTCTCTGACATATATATGGGTATGGACTGAGGCATGGATGGGAAACCTCAGTGTAACATTGCACATATGACTGGCCACCAGTTTGCAGGTACAAGAAAAATGTTTCAGCCAAAAGCAAATGGACCAAGAATTGCAAAGCAACTAGTGTAGTTCTCCTTTACATCAAGATTATTGATGATGTCCTGTGGACCTTCCGCTTCTAAGCTGAACTGTTTTATTTTGCAAGGGCAGCAACACATCTAGAAGATTTCTACAGAGACATGAAATCACTTAGCTATGAAACCAAATATTTGACTTTTGTACAAGTTTGAAATAAAAATTTAAATATGTATGGGCTGGAATTATTTGGGTGTTTTGAAAGAGAACATTTCAGTTTCCTGCAGGACAGATTCATGAGGAATATGAAGGAGGAGGACTATGCATCTGTGCATCGCAATATTCTACAACACTGTGTGCCGTACATCTCAGTGTGGGACTGGGCATGTGTCCCACTCTCTTGGCAATGCTGACCTTTCTCATTAGGCATAAGCAACTTGCATAATCACTGCTGACTTCTATTGACTGGCCTGTCACAATGTCTATCCATTTGACTGGAAACCCTGTGAAAAAGTGCCGGCTGCCAAAAACATCTCACCCTGTGACTTCCTGCTGTATTGTGGAGCAGGATCAGTAACTAAGACTTTTCATTAACTATACACGTTATGTAACTTAAGTGCAATTAGATATATTCTCCTCTTTTAGTTTTATTAAAAATATACTTTAGTCTTACTTTTTAAAAATGTGAGCAGTTTTACCCTCCAAATAAGTCTACGCACTGTTTCAAATTATAATTTTCACAGTAACACTTAATGCATATCCATAGGACAGGATTTATGTCGTTAATGGACTGCTGCTTACTTTTCTACTATAACTGAGCACTCAAAGTGTTTTTTACTCATAACCTCATATGCCCAATCACACACACATTCACAGAAGTAGTGTTTTCTATATTTAAGTGTCTGGTCTAGTATTTAGACACGCTTACGTTCAGATGAATGTAACAGGGAATCTCAGGGTCAGTATTTGTCCCAAGAATACTTTGACTGAGGATCAAGCTAACATCCTTCCTTTTTATGAAACTAGCAAACCCTAGCAAAAACTTAAGTCAAGATTAATATAGTGGAAGATTTACCAGAACAATACTGATTAAACAGTATAAATATGTAAAATGAAGAATGCATTAAGGTAACATGAATATACATCGTAACATTAATGATGAATTATAGATGTAGAAGATTTAATATCCAATATGTTGCTTCATAAAGTGTCTCATGACATGCTGAAGCTCACACAAACTTCATCTTCTTATCCCCACGTTGTTGTCACTTAGTCTGCTCCACTTTTCTAGACTTTTAGTATTTTTCTAGCCGCGTATTTCAGTGATCGATAATCAGCGGCTGCTCAGCTGCACTGGGAATAAATAAAAATTGCGCTGACCATTAAAATACATGATTTAACAAATGAGAACATGCACAAACTAAACAAAAATAGCATGCGCACACTAAAGGTCAATGAATGTGCCCATGGTGAGCCTCATTTTAGTGCTCAACTGAATTACCAAATACAAAAATATATATGACTGTGGGATTTGTATAAA